TTTGCCTATGCTGCACCCAGCAAAAACCAAGGCTTTATGTGTCAAATGTTAATAGTTCTGTAATAATATCTATGGCAGTTATCTAGCCCACAATAAAGGCAAGGGAACTCCCTCTTCCTTTCATGTGGACAGCCTCACAGAATGACACTTTACTATTTGTCTGCACCTTGTTAAGTCCTTCTGGTACTGACTATTTCATCCAGAGGAATAGCTGCTTCTAGCATTCCACAAACATATGGTACCAGAGGGAGACTACATTTCTGGGATCAGATAATTCCAGCTCCCAGAAAGTACACTGCCACCACAGACAGCACTGCACCCACCTGGGGTGGGTGACAGGTGACAAATATAACCATTTCCATCATTGTGCACCACCTTACTCAGCTCACAGTCCATCCTTGATCACATAAAATGGCATTGCCACTATTGAGTTTGCTTATATTCTGCTTAAAAGAAAGACTCTTGAACAACATATGAAGGAATAAAAAGTGCTGTGAAACATCGATGGCAGAATACTAACCTCTTTACCCTTGCAGGATGAACTTGACTAATCCTATTATAAATGTGCTCCTGATCCTGCGCATATGGGAAAAGAGCAGTGGCTTCTAAAAATGAATCCAAGTCTGACTTTTCCTCCATATCTCAAATTCATAAACCAGGTAATGCTGTACACAGGAAATTATCATATTCCATTTCCATACACCAAGCTAATACTGAAAATTAAATGGTTTCCTATCTAAATTATTTGAAATGCCACAGATTTTCTAACTGAAAACTGACAGTTTCCTTTGAAACCCCAACTGAACCTCAAAGTACACCCCAGTGACACATATAAGATGAAAAACTTGGGAGCTACCTTGCCTACAGCTTGCTGTGCTCTATGTCACTCCAGACGGTTCTGCCCATGGCTAGAAGTGTCTGTGTCTTTATTTCACTCAGTAGATGCACACACATGGAAAGATAGTTGCCAGTAAAGAAATACAGTGGATAGAATAAAGGAAGGGGAAACAGACCTAATGCTACAAGGTTCCTCTCTGCCATGCCTTGTCTCCAGCCAGTCACCACGGAGGTGGCCTCTCCTCTTATCACAGAATCATAGAATGGTTTGGGTTGGAAGAGGCTTAAAGATCATCTAGTTCCAACCCCATGCCATGAGCAGGGACACCTTCTATTAGACCAGGTTGCTAAAAGTCCCATCCAACCTGGCCTTAACCCATGCTCCAAAGGGAGTCATGGTCTCCCAGCACTTTTCTTCATTTCTGGCCTCTGCTGGCTATTTACCTTGAGCTGTTTATTACTTAGTGGATTTTTGAGATGGTTAAGATAAGCCAGAGGGAAAGCAGGAACAAAGAAAAGGACTGTAGCACCCTTCCTCATTCTGAAGGGTTTGAGTCTATTTTCATCCCCTCTGGTTAATCACAGATTGAAATTAGTCAGTGAAAGCAGAAAAGTAAAGAAATTTATGTGTCTAGCATGCACATGGTCACAAAACACATGAATGTCACTCTGAAAAAACAGGACTTTGGTCCTCCTGGGCACAGATGGTTTCTTTCTGCTAGGTTAGTGGATTATCTACTATCACATAGGAAAACTGAGACAGTGGCCCAGGTGGCACCCCCACCAAAGACAGTGTAAGAGGTATTCAAAACTTCATAAGCCACTACACAATAGACAAAATGGCCTTCTCAGTCTTGCTACAGTATAAACTCAGTGGCGGAAACGAGACAGAGCACTCCAAGAGGTATCACAACAGGAAAGATACTGCACTCTAATTACAGCCTCTGTTCCACTATATTTATCATCCAAAACTAACTGGATTATGAGACACAGAGGGAAATGGGAATGCCAATTCACATTTACTACTGTCTTTAAAACATTAACAGAAAACAAAGTAGATCAAGAAGATCTGCATCCCCTATGTTAGGAAGATGAAATTTTTGAGTTTGAACTGCGGCAATTGTGATTTAACCCAGAAGGCAGCTGAACACACATAGCCTTTCACTCACTCTCTCACCCTCCCACAGTGGGTGAGGGAAAGAATCAGAAAAAAAGGTAAAACTCCTGACTTTGGGATGACCCAATTGCAGCCTTCAGGCACCTGAGGGGAGCCGACAAGAAAGGTGGAGAGATCATTCACAAGAGCCCGTAGTGAAAGGAATGGGGCAATGGCTTCAAACTGAGAGAGAGTACGTTTAGGTTAGATGTTAGGAAGAATTTCTTCCCAGTGAGGGTGGTGAGGCACTGGAACAGGTTTCCCAGATGAGTTGTGGATGCCCCATCCCTGGAACTGTTTAAGGTCAGGTTGGATGGGACATTGAGCAATGTGGTCTACTGGAAGGTGTCCCTACCCATGGCAGGGGATTTGGAGCCAGATGATCTTTAAGGTCTCTTTCAACCCAAGCCATTACATAATCCCATGACCCGAGACAAGGATAGTTTAACAGAACAGAAAAGGCAGAGAAATTAATAATAATAGAATTAGAATATGTAAAACAAGAAATGCACAATGCAAATGCTCAACACCTGCTGACTGATGCCCAGCCAGTTCCTGAGCAGCATCTCCCAGATTTTAGATTCCTTCCTAATTTATATACTGAGCATGACCATATGGTATAGAGCATCCCTTTGGCCAGTTTGGGTCTGCTGTCGTGGCTATGTTACTTCCCAGCTTCTTGTGTCACCCACCACCTCAGCCTCCTTACTGCCAGGGCAGCATGAGAAGCTAAAGTCGGAAGAACTGGAACATGAGTGTTATCGACATTACTCTCAACCTAAATCCAAAGTACAGCACTGTACTAGCTACTAGGAAGAAAACAAACTCTATCCCAGCTGAAAATCAGGACAGCAATACACAAAATAATGGGAGGCTTCCAAGCTAGAAGTGACATACTTCGTAGTTCTCAGTCTACTGCTTAAAATGCCAGCGGGTTCTTGCACAGTAAACTCCACAGCAGCAGGCAATCTTGTACAAAACTCAAATTACTGTCAAAACCCCAAATTCTCTTAAAAAGAAAATACTACCAGAATATTTGCTGTGCTTTCAGGTTTATTACATGCATGCTCAGATCAGTAGGGAGCACAAATTCCATCTATAGCATATAAGCACAGTCACATTTCTGCTGACTTTGCAATAGCCTATTCATAGCATTTAAGCTGTCTCTCCATCTGCTGAGAAATGGTGAACCTTGTGCAATTTCCATACAGCTCCCTGGGCTTTTTGAGCAAGTTTGGATGAGCAGCATAAGGATGTTCTGGTGCTTTGCAACTTGCATCATGCAGCACCAAGTTGCTGATCTGACAGGCACATTAAAACCAGACCTTTCTCCTTGTGAATTCATAGTCTTGCAGTGTGCAAAAAAAACAGTCAATAGGTGTGGTTCCAGCCTCTATAGATTGTTCAGTTAGATCTGTCAGGTTGGTTTAGTTGTTTGGCTTTTTTAACCTGCTAATTTTGATAGGCTACCTTTATATGATAATGAAAAAAATCCTATCTTATCTAGCACTAGGGTGGATTGAGTACTTCCCAGTGAAAAAGTTAACTGGAAAATAACCAAAAGGTTTTATTTTAGTTCTATTAGAGGAAATAACAATCCAACAAAGACCAGATGAAGTGGTCATAATTCTCAGTAGATAAGAACCTCACCAACAATCAGCATTAATAATACTTAATAATTCTGCAATTCTAGATCCTACATCCCCAGCCTCAAACAGAAGAACATTTAGACTTAAAAGAGCCTGAAAAACCATCAACAACACAAAAAAAAAAATTAACTTATTCACATTTTAATTGTTCAAATCAAATTCTTCCCAAAAGCAAGCACTTTACTGTGATACAGGACAAGTACAAGCATGATACTTGTCAAGTATCAAGGAGCACACTTAGAAGTTTTACCTGACCAAGAGATTTCTACCTCATTCCAAAGCTAAAAGAAAGTAGTATCAAGAACCCCTGCAAGATCTGCTACAAAGTACAGATCCTTTAAGACACCTTAATTTCTTTTTTTCTCGAATGTAAATACCCTTTCGTTTCTTTTCTGTCTGAATTTTTTCTATACATTAGTTTACATTAAAAGTTCACTAGGACCTACCACAAATACATTAACCATATGTTCTAATCCAGAAGAGAAAGGAGTTTCAATGGTAACAAATTGGTCACTGACAGAACACAACTGTTCTTTTTTTGTCTGAAGGGGCATCAAAAATAAGTGGATCTGACTGCAGACAAAACAACATCACAGAATAATATGTGTAATCTAAATCTGAATGACCAAAGCACATTCCAATTAGGATAACCCAAATGCAAGTAAGTGCAGATGTAAGCCCAAATTCCATGCACAAATAGAGAAATTGTGCATTCAGAACTGGGAACTGCATACTCCATTTGCATCTACAATTTGGGTGGAACTCTAGTGTTCAGTGAAAAGCTGGCTTTTTCAGCTGGACAAAGATCCTTGCCAAAGAGGAAATCAATGAAATTAGCAACATAACTAAAACAGAGAAAGAAAATACAATCAACAATTTTTCCAGTAGAAAAACCTTGTTACAGCAGAACAGACCACTAACAGAAACCACAAAGCTTTGCCTCCCAGGGCTAGAAGAAATGGAAAACTGAATGGAATTAATCCTGCTGCTATTTTGGGAAAGGTGCAAATAACTATCTTCTTGCCTGTTGACTGCACTGACAGTGGCCCTGCTTTCCCTTGCAGGTTCACACTACTTTGCAAGAGCTGCTCACACAGCTCACCTCTTACTGTGAGCAAAGGATTCATGGATTAAACTGAAACAGCAGTGAACCCAAACTCTCAGAAAAAGGAGTCTGAGTGTTTCCTTACAGATGTCTTGAATCCTGCTTGATCTCTAAAACTGGTAATAAGCTTGGACTATTTTATCCCTTTCCTACAAAAGCATTATATATAGTCATCCTCACTTTGATTTAGCACACCTGTAAGTAAAGAGAGAAGCAGAAAATTCCAACAAAACACACGAAGTTTTGTTTTTACCTGGCATTGGCTCCTTTAAGGTCACAGAAGTGTGAGAGTAAAGCTTTCACTACATCATTGCAGACAACTTTAACCACATCAATGTGACTCAGCCTCTGGCGCAGCTGCTTGGCAATCTCCCAAAAGTCTTCAGAGAGCAGCTGGTACAGCTGCCCCTCATCTCTGCTGAGATGCCCATACCAGGACAGGATGTAATCTCTATAGCTGTAGTCAAACACTGAAAGGAGAAACAGAACAATAAATAGCAAAAACTGCAAAAGGACAAGACACACCAAGACAGGAAAGATTTAATCCTCCACCCTTCTCATAAACTGTATGGGTAATAGCTTTTATGTCTACTTCTTGCCAAAGAAAGTAAGGTTGGTGAAGTTACAGCAATCTGCACCTAACAGGTTACTGCAGGTCACTTTGCAACGCAAAGCCTTTAAGTGGATTTGCTCAGTCAGGTTGCCAGCTACACACAAACCTCAGACTAATACCTGTCTCTCAGCAGTGGCTTTGGTTATATGAACTATCATATAATCTGTGTCTAAAACATTGCAGGCTGAAGCCAGCCTTCTTCACATAGGAATTGAATAGTCTTCATTCCAAGATCATGGCAAAAAAGGGGATGTGGTAAGATTTTTTGGTTTCCAAAGACATACATAACACTGAACACCACCACAGAAAGTACATTATAGGATCAGAAGAGTTAAGAGAGAACAAGTGGATTAGCGAGACCACATGAACTTCAAAAATGACAAAGCATTCCAAATCACACTGACAGGCAGTAAGCAACATGACTGTAAGTGTGAATCACATGGCAACAATGTCTTCTACCATTTTGACTTTTCTTTTTGACGTTTGTGTATCACCAGTTTTACTGATGTTTCATTTTAGCAAATGTTCCTGGAGGTCCAAGAGGAAGAAAGAGGTGTTCAGGGAGAACACATGGACTGCTTGGCAGTTGCAACAAGGTGGGGGGAAAGCTGGGATTGTAAAAGTCCATCTGCATCCACCAGAGGGACAACAAAAAGGGGAGAATAAAGTCATGTGTCTGGTAATATCAGCAGCTTCTTTACCAAACATCCAGGTTTCAAATTTTCATATCAAAAGTCCATCTCATTTGTCAATGTAAGACTGTGGTGCAAAGTAATCACAAGACTCTGCTATTTCTTACATTCCACTTTGATAGGAGTTGTTTGCTTGGCAGTTTAGTAAGTTATGAAAATCTCCCTGGCGCTGGCAACAGTGAACTAATAGCATATTAATAGGGACAACAACTTAAAATCAATATTTTCACCCACCTTTTCAGGCAAAACTAGCAAACTTCAACCAACGTCAACGTGATAAAAACATTGCAAGAAAATGGCTAAAATTGGCACAAGTTTCTAGTCAAAAGCTTCACAAACAAGCTTCCTCAAGTTATAAAAAAGAAAACCGAGTCACTTCAATGATTATGCTGAAATATGTAGTCTTCTATATAAGACTATATAAGACTTCTGCTAATATATAAGACTTCTGCTAAGTAATTTCAAGACTATTTTAATTAATAGTTCAGAAAAAAACATCCACAGTTCAATAAACAAATTAATTACAGATTTGGAGTTTTTATTCTTCTTTTTCTAATCTAGGAGAGAAAGAAGTATGCAGAGCCATATAGCTGGATAGGAACTTCCAAAATAGTTTCTAAAATCTATGAAATATTTCACTGACAACTCTCACCCACAAATACTACAGAGCGATAAAAACAGTCATAAAAAGTAGCAGAGGAATAATCTGTCGATTCACCAAAGAACACTGGGAATAGCATTTTAAAATCTGAAGTTTTATTACTTATCTCAAGTCTTCCATCAATACACATTTTAAGTATCTATTTTTCCACAGCTGTCTCCACACCCTCCTGCAGCCATCTTTTTCTCAGAGCTTAGTTACTCTCTTCTGTTGTAAGATCTGAAATGCTGTGGAAGGCTGATCTCTGCACAGATTCTTCCTTTTCACCTACTCCATAAGCGAGCAATAATTTCTCAAGTCCATTTGCAACACAGTGCATTGACTGTTAATGTATAACTATTTCTAAGCAACTCCTCTCCCAAATGAGCTCAGTTTCTAGAATACTACATACGACATTCTTCTTCATTCCTTTTAGCCACTCATGAATTCTGTCACATTCGATGTGAAAGAACCACAAAATCTATTGGCATGAGCAAACTTGAGACAAATTAGTGAGAGAGATTAGAGATTGATGATCATCACCAAAAATCAACCATGCAATTATGAAATATTTCACTTGTGTTTAACTCTGCCAGTTACATACTTTCAACACCTTAAAAGGATTACAGCACTTTAAACCATATTTTCCTGCACATATGTTTTGTAACTCTCTTACTTTACATGTCTTCTATAGCTTTCATGTCACTTCTGAACCTTGTTGTCCTTTCTGCATCACAACAGTGCTGTTCCCTATAAAATTCACCGTTCTTTGGAACCCAGGATGTATGTCCAAGTGAGCAGTGAGATAGCTTTTAGGACTTTATTTATTTATTTAAACAAATACGCAAAATTTTAAAAGGACACCAGCAACAGACTAAAAGCAGTCAGTTTAAGACTAAGACACTGCCTTACGTAAGTGTCATCATGGCCATGGTGAGCAGTTGCTGCTTTAGTTTCATGCCCATTGATGCAGCTGGTACCTTTTCAGCAGTCTAAAGAAGTACAGAAAACAAGTGTAACAATTTTATAGAGAGCAGCTTGCTCCCTTCAGAGGAGAAAGCTGCTCATGCATCTATTGTCATTAATTTTACGCTACATGTTCTCTGAAACGTTGAAAACAACAGTCAGAAGACAAGACAGGAATAAAAAAAGAAGCAGAACACATTCAGGACAGAACCTTACTACCACTAACTCATCAACTACAAAGAAATCAAATAAATTACTTCTGATCAAATCAAATGCAGTGAACACAATAACTCTGGTGCAAAACTGTAGAAACTTCTGCTGGGTTTTTCACATTAGTTCAGAAGATGCAAGTCCCAAGTAATGACAATGTAATTAAAAGACATTTCCAGGCAAAATTGAAGTATAGCCTGTTCAATTACTCTTTTTAAAATACTGTGAACTAGAGAAGTGCTGGAAGTAGAGAGCCAGAAGCTTTTGTGGAGGTTTAGTGAGGACACCCCTCCAGACCCCTCCTTCATTCCTACTCCCACTCATGCCCTATCCCAGCTATCCCTTCTTGCATATTCATGCATTCAGAAGTTCAGTGGCAACACCAGATTCTGTGGGTTAGACTGCTTACAAATCTGTAATTTGCAGAGCTTCAGTCTAGACAGTTTTTATATTGTTAAAATTCATTACCCAGCTTCATTAAAAATAACTAAAATCTGAAGAACAAGGATTAAATGCCTACTCTTTTTCTCAAAGAAGTATTCAAAAACAGAGCATAAATATTCTCCCTATGCAAATACAGAGACAGACTTTTCAAGTTTCAACAAGAGGCAACTGTTCTTTCCTGAAAGTACCGGAGAAGCCAGAACCACTATATTAATGTATAGTCAAATCCAAAACTCTCCTGTGACAGTATGAACAAATGAAGAAAATGTATAGCTACAGCACTGGCTTGAGTTATTCTAGAGCAGCAAGCATTGCCATCTGCAAAACAGAAATACAAGCCTAACAAGAATTGTGTTAGCATCCTATGTGAGGAAACCACCATCAAAAAGCCAAGAAACATTACCAGAACTCTGTTCTACTACAACACTGGATCTAACATGCATGATGGGGTTATAATAAATTATAGTTGTGCAAAACTACTTAAAAAAAATTTAACAGAAAAAGATGGCAGACTACACCACAGCTAAGTACCTGTCGAAGTACTGTTCTAGAGAAGTAAATTCTAAATGCTTACTTCTTACAGCCATTACCTTTTCCCCCGCCAAAAGCCAATTCAGACCAAAAAAGACAAAACCCAAACAACAATAAAAACCTCAACAAAAATATTCAAACTCCTACATTAAAGAGGGGTTTTCAATTACTAATAAAATTACTAACAAATACTCTGAATATTCAATTTTATAATTTCCAAGACATTAACATTTACATTGAAAGAGATGAAAGCCATTATTCACTTATTGTATTTTAGATTTCATTATGTTTTACCTATACAAATTAGGAGGATGATGTTTTATACTTAATGTTACCTTTATCTACTGAAGTTACTCATACCCACTAAATCTTTACTCAGACCATGACGTAAAAGGCTGGCAAAATGATGCCTAAATGCCAACACTTGAGCAACTGTGAACCTGTCCAAATATATAAACTATAGAGAAAAAAAATGTGTTACAAATATCTAGGAAATGCATTAATCAGACAACTTTAGGTTCAAATAATTTTCCACATACACCCTTTGCCAAGAGTTCTTAGCTTCAAGTATTTGAATCCCAGTAGAAGAGAGAACACAAATTCAAATTGTTTTTCTGATATGTGGACCAAAAAACAAACCCCATTTTTCAGTGGGGGGGGAAAAAAGCCCAAAACAAAACAAAAAATCAAGCCAAACCAACAGCTTTTCAAGTGGAGAACAGCCAGAGTGACTACAAGTTATTTTTCTAAATGTCAACATATACATCTTAATTTGGAAAAGGAGACAGAGTTTTTCCCAATCTTTCTGTGAAGGGAAGTACTGCCTTACGTCCCTAAAAGAATTCTTCTAATTCAACACAGACAGGCAAGATCTGATCCGTAGGGATAATCTAATTAAATTCCCCAAATATTTCCAACAAGATCACCTCAAGGCAGGGTTGAAGGAAGATAACCCACTACAAAAGAAGAGATGGCATGAAATATTTTAAGAGCTAAGAAACACATAGGTGCATTTTTGCAGCAGAACCATTTCCCCAGTAGAGTTCTGCTGGGATTTGAGCTATGGCCTGTACTGTTTTACTTACTCATAAATGACCCAGCAAAGCAGCTAAGTGATATGAAGACCATTTTTCTTGGCACTACTAAAACTGTAGAGACAGAGTGACTGTGAAGAATAACAAAGACCACAGGATGTGGAGCAATAAAAATGGAAAATGAAATTCAGTTCCTGGGAGGCCAGCTACCCCCACAGCAGATCAATCTACTGACAGCTACAGCCTGAGCCCAAGCAGTACACACTGTGGAAAGCAGCACGAGTCTGACTGAGCACAGCCCCTCTCAGGAGACATCTCACCATGTGTAGCTCGAATTCACATAAGCAACACATAGCACTAAAGGGTATTGGTGGAAGTGGCTTATCTTTTCTTTTTGTAAGATAAATGAAGGGCAAACAAAACTCAAATCAATCTATCAAGAGAAATCATGAACAGTACTGAAAAAAACATATTTCAGTGTTAGTTACTCATACACCATCAGCTGAAAAGGAAACTCAGGATTGACAACTAAAGATCTTTTCTTTCTGCCACATTCAAGGAATAACTCATTATAACCTTACACTTGTTCAATTTTGAGCACTTAGATTTCATTAAACACAACACATTGTAGCAGGGCTAATTCATACCTTTCCCCACCTTATATCTACAGCCAAGGCAATTATGCTATAATTAATAATGAAGCAGCACTCTCGAGCACCAACCTTTTACACTACATGAAAAATAGCAAAGACATTTAGGACAGAGCTGCAAACCAACAAACATAAACAGAGGTGCCTTCTTGGTGGTGTTTAATATGAGGCACATTGTATAAGAGTGATTCCCAATAATTTTGTTACATGCGTTGTTGAAAGACAAGAGGCTATCCAAGACACAGGCAATCATTATGAGCCAGTGACCATTACAGGAAAACAATCTAAATGTCTAATAAATATTGAAATTACACTGGTGGTTGAAATAAAACATGCATGATTGCTTCCATCAGACCAAGGATATGACTGATATATATCCTCCCAAATACATTAACAGACTATGATGAGAACAGCAGGAAAAATGCAGTAAAGCAAGTGGCAGCTTCAAGTGACACAGAACCTCAGCTGCCCCACTCTAAACTCAAGAGAGAAAAGCCTACACAGACTGGCTCTAACACCAGCAAAAGCATGCCATGATTAACAGTCAATAGGCAGTCCTGCAGGGGTTAGCAACTAACAATAAACCCCAGACAAAATGAATTATAAAATAATGAAAAACAGCCAAAGAAAACAGAATTAACCAAAGGGCTGTTTGGTCATATCCAGCAACAGCGTTTCTGAAATCAGATGACACTGGTTTTCCCAAAAATGTGATCTGTAATCCATGCATCTCTAAGGTAATGTAATGAGAAGTAAAATCTGTTAAAAACAACCAATCAATCAACCAACAAAAAACCACAAACAAAACAAAAAAAAAACCAAAAAACAAGCAAACAAAAAAACCAAACAAATAAACAAACAAACCACCACCCAAAACTCTATTCATTGTGATAATTTGGCAATGTCTACTCTTCAGGTGGCTTTAGGAGTCCAAAAGGGTCCCCAAGAATAAAACCTCATGGCAGCTGAATGTCTTCTAGGTAAATGAATAAGGCTTTCCAAAGCAATTTGTTGAGTAGCACATTACATCTAGACAGCAAAAAGTGATCCCAAATTCCTGGGATTTATAAATACTTTAATCCTGATCAGTGCAAGACTGGAAATAAATACAGATTGTATTTTTATATCCCTAGTAATAAAGTTTTATTTAACCACAAACTTGCAAAAAAAAAAGAAATTCACATCAAGACAACTACAAATTTCAGAAATGTCACAGGCAAGAAGTCCTGCCTTTTTCCATAGAGACTGATCAATTTGTGCTAATAAAAAAATTAACTATTGCTTTTGGGATAGCATTCTGTATCTCAAAGTGATTGCATACAGTATATGAAATTTAAGATGACTCAGTCACCTTTCAAACCCAAAACACTTCATATGGTAGAGCAAAAAGTACAGTCTCATCTTTGTTGAACTGCAAAACAGAGAAGTTGGCTTCATCACTTAGGCCTGGAAGAAATAAAATTAAATCTGACAAGTTTGCTCTCCAAAATTTAGCATGAGAAGGGAGGGTAAAAGCTACTCCAGAAAAAGAAATAGCAGAAAGGCATGTGAGCTGTCACAACATAAAGTACTTAACACTGTAAAATGAATCATTTAAATATTAGCAACTTCTTTTCAGCCTTACTGAGTAGGGATGGCCTCATACATCCAATGGAATGATCTGTGGGATAAACATCTTAAATGAAGACAGTTCCCATATTTTTACTGGAACAAGTTACTCTTACATGCAACTAACAGGAGGAAAGTGTAACACAACTATCTTTCCCTCGATATTCCCTCTATCTATTCCTTGAATACCTGCTGTCTGTCTCCAAATAATCCCACTACCTCAAATTCTATGATTATTTTTCAAACTTTTGTTTCAAGTTCCACAACAGGTTATCCAAAATATAAAATACACATATGAGACAATACAGCAAATAACTTTTTTGTGCTTGTTTCTCTACATGTAACATTTAGAATTTACTACGCTTTTCACATCATCAGGAATCCCCTAATGGGACCGATTCCAGAGGAAAATGCTTCCTAAGAATAAATTATGATTATGTTATAATAGTTCACCTTCAGAAAATATGACATAGGTGGGTAAAGTGTTCTGATTTTATACTTTGGCTACATATCTTGCTAATAGCTCTTCATAAAAATAAAAACATAACACATACCAAGTTGTCATAAGACAACCAACCTGTTTAAAGCGATGGTAATTTTCAAAGGTGCTCTCCATTTATGAAAAAGATTGCAAAAAGTGCTGCAAAGAAATCTTGAAGGAAAAAGTATTCAAAATTAGATAAAATATTTACAAAAGACTGATAAACTGTATCAGCCAGAAATACAAACATTGATCTTAGATTCAGTTTTAATGGCAAGAATTACACTAAATGGGAAGACTGTATGCAAGCGTCTACAGGATTTTTCATTTCAGGAAAACCCAGTCAAGAACAATTTTTAGTGTTACCCCTTTGCTTTGCGCACAGTATTAAGGACTGCATTTTAATGTATTTCTGTTAAAAAACAGCTACTAAAATGACAAGATAGCGGTTGAATTGCAAAAACAACATCACATTACTTACTACAGTGGACCTCTTAAGAAGACTAAGAGGCCATTAATTCCGTGCCATTTTATTTTATACCACAGAAAAAAACAGAGTCATATTCTAAAGTCTTGGAATATTGTGCAGTTATAGTTTGGTAAGAGGACAAGAGATATCCACACTCTAATACACCTTTGACCAAGTTAAGACTCACCTTCTTTCAGTGCTTTATCCATATTGTGAGAAAAAACCACTCTCCTTGATTGGATTGAATCATGAGAGCTTCCAGACCAATTACTCTGAAATTCAAACGGAACATACATCATAAGGGGAAGGAATAAAGCAAAAGTTACAGAAGGAATAAAACTGGAATTCCAGGCAATAACATTTGGTCTTTATACAAATATTGTCACCCCATATGGTTAAAACAGAGGAGTGTCAATTGTCTATGAAGTTATTATACGCTGTTCATTAAGCACATATTAACACTCATGTATCAACATTGTACAACTTGCAAAATTATCTTAAATTAGGTTTTTTTGGTAGAAGGGTGCTGTATTCATTTCAGTTGGGTGCATTGAAAATATGACATGCATGTAACAAAACAACTGGAACTCTTCTATTCAGTCTTTTCACAGCTAATAAAACATTTTTATAGCCTGCTGTGACAATGGACTTAGTTTAGCCTCATAAACCACTTTAAAACAAAAGAGAAGCCTTCAGATCTCCTACAGTAATTTTGGTTCACATTCTTTTGGACTTCTTTCTTCTGGCCCTCTACATTTGAAGCTGCTGTCCTGTACAAATATTTGTCTATATTGGAGTATTCACTCCCACAGTGCGCAAACAGATGGGCGGAAGGAGAAACATTTTTCAGGGTGTAGACAAAGAGCAATGATTCATGATGTATTTATATAGAAAGGAGTATAATCCAAAACAGAAATAGACACCATCCCTATTGTCACTCAGCTTGGAGCTCATTCTCCATGGTACGGAGAGAAGCCTTCAGAAACATCCCCATCCTTCCAACATTCACCAGACAGAGAATAATGAGCAGTATAAATTTAAAGTAAAAACACTGTTCAATGTTCTTAAAGGTAATATACCATTATTTCAGCCAATTTGCAGGTCAATTTTCTGTATTTTGGTTTAACATTTTTCTTCTACTGCAGATACATGCAGGTGGAGTCTAATAAAATTTGTCTAATAAAGACCCAGATAAAGGAGTCTAAGCACTAACTTTTAACAGCAAAAATAAAGCTTTTCAGGCTCACTCACACCTAACACACAGCAACTGTGATGGGTACTTTCCATGCCATGAGTGTCCTGCTCACTGATGATTTGTTCCAGCTTTTGGGTGAGTGCAGCAACACTCCCTAGACTTCTTCCAGTCACTGTTTTGAGACCATGACTGTGGTCTTTCACCTGATTTCTTCTCTCCTTGAGAGCGCTACCAATGGCAGGAGCAGCAAGACTTCAGCACATTTGCTTCCATTTGCAGTTGCCCCTCACTATCAAGTCTGTAGTTAACAAGGTGTAAGAACCAAGTATTTGGTGAACTACTATAGATTTCCAAGCCCCTTTTTGCCCTGAATATAATGCCAGTTGCAGCTTCAGCCATACCCCAGCTAAACAGCAGGAGGAAGTAATTTTGCACTTTGTAAGGACACCCAACAGTATTTGTAAGGCTCCAATACCTCATCTCCTCTTGCTGCTAATGTTGTCACACTTCCTCAACACAAAGCTGCGTTAATGACAGTCACACAATTACTTCAGGACTGTTCTGCTTTACTAGCAGCATGGAATTGCATGATTTAAAATTTTTAAAAGAGAGATAAATTCACAGAGACATTAAACACTATAAGTACCTTAGGGGAATGGATTCAGAAAATCCAGTTAAACAAACTTGCTTAGGTCTTTCTGTGAAGAAAGAGCTCCTAAACAGGAGTCCATGATTCTGACTGCAGCTCTGTGCCCAACACATTCCATCTTCCTTAGCACTCATGCGACGCTGGGTATCTTACAAGGCTAATCCTTCTGCTAAACTGAGTCATACATGCACAGAGGTCAATGACCTCAAGCTAACTTAGGCATCAACAGCTGCACCACGTTCACTACAGGAGAAATTTTTCATGGCCTAAAGCATCAGTAAGTGCTCCAATGCAGTGCTCACCAAATTACTCCTTTCAAAACGAGTTTAAACACAAATTAAAAAAAAAAAAAAAAAGCAACCTTCAGAGAGGCTCTATAGTTGCAAGTAGGTAAGCAGCTTGCTCCACATCACCACATTATGATCCAATCTACACAATTCCACCAAGCAGGAACTGATCGTTTTATGCTTCAAACTTAAATACTCATTTTAAGAACAGGGCAGACTACTACTGCCTCGGCGAAATGCTGCCTCTTGGAAATCAGACACAAACTCACATTTCAGCTTGCAAGAACACATTCCATTGAGAGCATCCTCTACAGCTGGTACATCTGACTTCTAAAAGGCACCGTCTACTCACATAAAAAAAAGAAAAGTTGTTCAAGATGTGATCAAAAAGAATGTAAAAGGTAAAAAGTGGATACCACCAACAGTGATTTTGCTGCTGCATGAACATTATCAAAAAAAGGGCAAAGGAAAATGCATAATGTATTGGACTTCCTGAGAACTTCTCCATTCTCATACAGATATTGTATACAGCCATGAACAGTTAGAGAGAAAAGCAAAGAGAAAAAAACCCACCTTGGTTTAAAACAAGGTTTCAATTTCATTAAAAAACAACTAATTAAGAACAGATGAGAATCTAACATTTGAATGAACAGCAGTGTTCAAGGGCATTGGAGTGGTCACAGAATTGTCTAGGTTAGAAAATATCTCTAATATCATTGAGTTCAACCATTAACCTATGATACTGGTTGTATTAGCTCAGTTTTAAGGAAAAAAGTTCAGTTGCTTCCAACTACTGAATGAGAGGATATAGAGAAAACGGAGCCAGACCCTTCTTGCAGATGCACAGAACATTAGGAAACATTGCAACACAGGAAATTCCCATCACAAGGCAAAACTATTTTAATCATGAGGCTGCTCAAGTATCACAATGGGGATTCTGACAGGCTGTGGAGTCTCTATATCTCTATCCTTTTCACTGAGCAAGAAGGTGAAACTAGATGCCTTCCAGATATTCCTTCCAACCTAAACAATTCATGATCTTTGATGATCCCTCAGAAAACTGTGAATTTAATTTCATTGATTGAACATATCAAATCTAAAGGTGTCTTGCCTAAAACAGCTGATCAAACTCATTTTTCCTTCCCATTTTACGAACTTGAATTTAGTAGAATCAAGTCTTAATTCTTGTTAGTCTACATTTGTTTTCAAAAAATTCTATTTCTGTGACAATAATAATGATGAATTAACTAAACAAGCAGGCACCCCCAAGTTAGATGACATATGGCAACAAACTCCTTAAAAACAACAGTAACAACCTGGTAACACAGATAACCAGCATCTGTGATAACAGAAGGTTTTCAGAAAATTCACAGTCCAAGCTCAGCTTCGACAGCTAAGAGAACGAAAAATACAGCATATTCCGCTGCATTCTTCTCACACCTGCCTCAAGTCAGATGGAGGCCATATGCAGAGAACTGGTTCAGCTGGAAAACCTAGATTTGAATGCTTTCACATTATTCATGTCACTTATCTAAAAGAAAATGGTGCTAGGTTTCACAAAATAGTTGGCATTACCCTGACTAAGCCAAAGATGTTTGTAAATGGATTTAACACAGTCAGAGCTCTAGTTTAGATGCTCTTTTATGCTGATTAAAACCTGGCACGCTCCTCTAAGTCCTGACTTGCACTATCACAGCCCCCAATAACTTTTTTTTTTTTAATTTGTCTCTGGTATGTAGATTTTATTGTTAAAGAATGACAGAAACCAGACTGAACCATAAATAAGACTTAATAAAAGGACTTGAAGTGGTAGGGGTGAGGCTGCTAACAAACAGGGAGGCCTGTTTCCTGAAACAGTTCAAGTTTTCCTCAGTTTTGACTTTGCTTACAGTCTGAAAAAAAGGATGTGTGCATTTCCTGTAGACTTCTGAACAACACTCATTGTTTGATACTTTTGAGAATTATTTAAGAAGCAGAAAACAACAGTCTAAATGGGCCAAGAAAAAAAGCTCTGACACTGAACTTGAAATTTTGTCTTAGCTTCAGTCTCCTACAGAAGCCAAAATCAAGTAAACGTCATTTATTAGTTTAAACAATTTAAATAATTTTAAATTAGTTCTGAAGAAAAAAAATGTTAATAAAGAATTAAGAAGGTATTTCAGCAACTACGCTCAATAAATGGCAAAACACAGAGAACACAGGAGTACCTTCTACTATCAAGAAATCCATTTGCAACACTTGGCCATCAAAAGTAATTTTTAGAACAGCAGCAGAAAGCCAGGCACCTGCTACAGGCACACCACATGCAGCCTCACTCCGCCATGGAATTAAGGCCAAAAGCAGAGAAAAATTTGCCATAGTTTTTATTATGTTAACTCAATTATAACAAAACTAGACCAAAGATAAGGACAGATCCCACAATCTAAACGGGCATTATGGATGAAACACTCCATTTAATCACTGATCTAAAACGTAAAGACTGTATCTAATTAAGCATACACAAACTAATCAGTTACTCATAGTTACTTAATCTTCCCACTGTTGCCCTATTAACTTTCCTTTTATCTTTGTAAAAGATACATTAACATCAGACTGGACCTTGATGATAAAGAATTACAGCTTCAAACAATACTTCACTGAACTCTCCATAGATTCATATTTAACTGATGTAGAGAGATGTGTTCTTATAGTAGTAAATACTACTTCAACTAATTATGCAAAAATAATTTCTTTATTCACAAGACTTAATACTTTTTAATTAATACTTAAAGTTCTATTTAAGATTACAGGGCAAGTATGAATGTGTCACATTCAGCATCAAGTGATGTCATAACTACCAATTTGAAAATCAACATACTTGAAGCATGTTAATCCTATTATCTTAAGCATCATTATCTCAATAATGATTTTATTATATCATTACATCTTATTTCTACTGTTGTAGTAGAAATGTAATATATAAACTGTGTCTTGGAACATGTAAACTGTGTTTACTAGATGGTGATCTCCCATCTTAAATGTACATGTTTGAAACTTGTAAAACAGTAGTAGTGTAAAAACTTAATAATCAGGGCAGAACTTTCTTCACTTGCGATTTCATATAACACCAGACAGATAAGAATAAGTATGTGAAAATGAAAC